AGATCAATTTCAATATTGCCCGGTAGTAGCAAATCCAGCTCTATCTAACCCTACCACACTGCTCCAAAGGTTATGAAATGGGGGAATGGAACCTTTTCATCGAGAGTGTAGATTTCGACGGTTTCGAGCGGGGTTTCGGCAAATCTGACCCACGGATAAACCGCGCTGCAACTGAATGCTTTGCTGTGCATTGATGGAACTCGCTTATTCACATCAAATCAAGTTAGAGGGGTCGTATCAAGATCCCGATCTGGGGGGGGGTCGTACTGATCTGACCACGTCCTCGACACGATTTTCACCCTGCTGTAGAGCGTTGGATCTCACCGCTAAGGATCCAACAAGAAATAGATTCCTCCCTGAAACCAATTAGCTAACCGTCACATATGCCTCCATCAGCTGGTTATCCTTCTCGCGCCCCTAAAATATTTGCCTGTTCCACCCCTGTATCTCCTGTTGGAGTGAACGCCTCACTACTGCTTCGACGCGTCCTGTCCCGGTACGCGACTGTGGTCCTAGCGCACCGCGCGCTTCGGCTCTGCACCGCTCCTTGACCGTGATCACATGGCATACACAGGCTTCAGAAACATGCTCCGCTTCCGATCCTGCCTCCAGCCGAGGCCACTCAAAGGCACAACCCAGGCAGAGGTCGTGTGAACGCTTCTCTTCGGTCTGTAGTATAGACCCCTAGAGGACAATCACAAATGTGGCGTTCCGTGCACGGAAACCAACCGACAAGAGCGCTTGGGCCTTGCAAAGTAAGCTGCTTTGCAGATTTTTTTCTCTTATCAGGCTGTTGTCTGGCGCTCTCTCATCTGTAGCGCTCTCTCGCCTCATACTCCTCTCCGCGCTTAGTCTCTCATTCCCTTAGCACAGCCGATTAGGAAGGTGAGTGAGCCCTTAACCTAAGCGTTTTTGACGGATTCTTTCCTTTCTCAAGGCCCCTGGAGCGTGCCTTCAAGCGAGCAGTCTCTGTCAGTCGGCGCCTTTGCTCCTTGCGGGACGAGCGCTGTGGCGGGCAACGCGACGTTGCGGGACGACTCTCAGTTCCACAAGCACTCGACAGCATGGTCAGGCATGCTGCTCCATCCGGTCGATGCGCTGGTACGTCAGCTTCCTTAACCACCTCAGCAAGCCGGCAGGGCGCTCGCCGATGAACGGCGGACCATTGCAACGAGGACGCGATGACATCTCCAAGCCTGGAATGTTGGTGTAGGACGTCGTGGATTACCGCCAATAAACGTGAGTGAACCGAACATGTAGTTGTGTGGGGATTTTGTAGTAGGGGGGGGGGGGGAAGCCAGGGCAGGGGCCCGACTAAGGCGCAATAGGTTTTTCGTGTGCTGCTTATTATTGCGGGTTGTAGCCGGGGCAAGGGAACCCTCGGCCCTTGGGCTGGGAAAGCCTGGGGCCGACGGTGGGCCTTGCCCCCGGTTATACTCCTCAAACCCCCCCCCCCCTGGGTTAGGAACCCGTGATGCCCCGGGGAGCGGAGGCCATGCTGGGAGGGAAACCAGCGTGGTCCCCGGGAAGGACCCGTAGGATGACGTGTGCCTGGGAAAGGCCGCGAGGGCCCCGAACCACCTCGATGCGTCGTGTTGGAGGGTTAGGAGGGCGCCCGCTCCCGAACCACGACACGCCATATAATGGTCGTGAAACCTACGGTGTAAGCCCCCTCATAAGCTATTATCACTTTTTGTGCCCTAGCAAATATGTTACTGTCCACCCCGCATCACCTGTTGGAGTAAACGCCTCTCTACTGCTGGAAGACTCCCTATGAAAACTATGTACCAGCGAGTCGAACTAGGTACCAGCGACTCAATAGTGGCGGGACCCAACGTTCAAAGGAAGCCCGCCACTTTCAAACAGTGTCCACTGTCAAGTCCCGCCACTTTCAAACAGGGTCCACTGTCACGTGACACTGTTTGAAAGTGGCGGGCTTCCTTTGAACGTTGGGTCCCGCCACTATTGAGTCGCTGGTACATCGTTCGACTCGCTGGTACATAGTTCGACTCGCTGGTGCAAAGTTCGATTCGCTGGTGCAACGTTCGATTCGCTGGCGCAACGCTCGGATCCAGCGATTCGCAAACTATGACATCGGCCTGATAGTTGTGAAACCTGCGTTCTTAGCCCTCTCATCGACCCTTTTCAGCTGCTGTCATTTTTTGTCCCCACCAAATATGCTTCCTACTTCCCCCCTCCCCTACAACATACTAAAATACAGCGCTCCACTGTTGCAGCGAAGAGCGCTATGAATTTCGTGACAAACAGACGCACACACACACATACAGGCGTACAGACATACTTAGCGAATTATGTTTGGTAGGACAAGGAGGTATAAACGGAAAACACTTGGGAAGAAGCCGCGCATGCGCAAAAAAGAGTCGCAAGGTTGGTCCTCCCACTCCCCATCCCTCCCACATTATTCTACTGGATAACTTCAACGCAGTGAAGATAGCTGGAATCATTTTGTGCCCTTCCGTTTATTGTACTCATCACTCAAAGGTGTTCATGGCATTTGCAACAAATGTGCACTTTTAGGCTAAAGGGGTGGTCTTTTGGTGCGTCCGGGGTTGCACGCGGCGAATCGCGCGGCGATCCGGACGAGGCAAGTCTTCGCGGGCTCCTGCAGTGGAATTCAACACGTCAGAACGTGTGCAGATCGCGGATAGAATCCACAAGGTTCTGCTTTGAAAGAAACTTCCCACTCGCGGAGATCGGTGAAATGCAGCGGTGTCAGTGAGAAGATTACAGCGAAAGAGAGAAACTTCATAGAAATGTCACTATTATCATATTATAAATATGAATAAGAAGCACTAAAAATGGAGTCATTTAGTGAGATGTTATTTATTGTCAACTCTATATCTTTGCTAATCGCGGCGCTCCTGTCCTTGGGGAGAACTTTCAAAACAGGGCCAATGGAAGGTGACACTAGAACTAAGCTCATGAGAAGGGAAATACGCTACTTCGAATATTTGACTTTCAGGCTGAATTCTATCCGATTGTCCCATGCTTCATCCACCGATGGCCTTTTGACCTTCCCTCCTTCGTCCACCAATTGTCCGTAATCGTCAACCAATTGTCCGCTTTTCCCGGTCTCGGACTGCCTCTGGACCGATTTATGAATCTCGTGGTAAACTCCGCCTATTTCTTTGCATGTCCCACCTATCTTTTTCTTCCTCGCCAACCTCTCCCCACTTTTACCCGATCTCTGAACTGTCTCTGATCCGATT